ATTTCAGAAGTTTTATAGACTTCATCCCAACTTTCACCAGTGAAAATCATGGCCGTATCATCGGCATAACACACTATATGACCGTAAAATTCATTAATCTGTGTTATTGCGTTTACGTAAACAAGAAAAAGGATCGGGCCAAGTACTGTGCCCTGGGGTATACCCAGATTGATTTATAATGTTGCATGAGCTTGCTACCAATTTTAACAGTTTGAGTACGTTCTTTTAGGTAATTTTGCATAAGTTCCAGAGCATGACCTCTAATATCATAATTACACAATATTTTGAGTAGGATTTCATGTGACACAGTTTCGAAAGCCTTTGTCAAATCCATAAATATCGCAAGACATTTCAAAGACTTGTACAACCCACTCCATGAAATCGAGCACGGCTATTTAAGTATTTGATTTGTTTATGAACCCAAATTGTTGCTGTGTTATTACATGATGTTTATTGAATAAATCTATCATTCGATTTTTGACAGATTGTTCGAATAATTTAGCAAAATTATCGATGACAGAAATTGGTCGGTAGTTGCATAAATCATTTTGATTTCCAGATTTAAAGACTGGAGTTACTCTACTCAAAAGTTTGCTGAGGTGTGTACGGTTTTCTGATTCGGAACACTGTTTCAAGCTTTTGAGAAGCAGATATTGCAATTCCAGCGACATGATTGTACCAAGACATATTGTTGTCTATTCTAACCCCCCAATAAACTTTTCGAAGCAGAAAGCGAAATTGTCTGATCTGACATTATTTAATCCGGTTCGGAGACATTTATATTCTTGAAAAAAACCGAGGCCTGGGTTTTTGTGGCATTGAATTGAACCTGGTTAGTTTCACCCCAATCCGAAATCACATCTAGATCCTCATTAAGATATGCAATCTCCTGCTGCCGGTGAAAATGTGTCTCAGTAGCCGATGTCCTGGAATCCAAATGTAATGACGAGACAAGTCTGCTGTCGTCAGCAATAAGTCGTTGATATATAATAAAAATAGGGTTTGAAGACAATATGTATCCCTGAGGAGCACCAGCTTTGAAGGTGGAAGTATTTGAGAGATATCCATCGACGGCCGCTTGCAGGGTACGTTTTTTCAGGGAGCTGAAGAGCCATACATAGAAATGATAGCTATAGCATCGAAGTTTGGTCAGCAAATCCACTACAGAAGGTTGCCTGTTGATCTTTGTTTCCGAAAGCCATATTGATGATCGCTCAAGATGTTGAAGCCTTCCAATTATTTGAGGATATGGTGGTTTACGACTTTCTCTACGATTTTTGATATCACTGATAGCAAAGCGACTGGTTTATAGTTATTTGGAAGATTCTTCTTCCCTTTTTTGGGAATAGGCTGAACGCGAGTAATCTCCCAACAAGAAGGAAAAACCCCTGTCTTGTAAGACAGGTTGAAAAGTCTGCAAAATACTGGTGCGAGTTCATTTGCGCACGATGACGGGCACTTCATCTGGGCCAGACGCTTTGTTGACGCCTAGATGCTGTCGAAAAGTAATTTCTGGCATTATGGATTCTAGTGTGGAAATAGTGGGTGGTGCCTTTCTCAAAAAATCGACTGTGAAATGGGACGCAAAATGCTGATGGTAGATGGTGTATTATAATTTCTCCACTGGAAATTTGTGTCATCATCTGGGCTATTGTTGATCTTTGATGTAAGCTCAGGATTACCGAATGTAGCTCAGGAAAACCACCCATGTCAGTGAGGCACACCAACCAAAACAAAAAGTTTTACTATCCTAACGTATTCCAAAAACACTTTATTGTGTGATTTTCACTAAATTGTTTTACAAAAACGCAACACGTGTTTCGCCATACAATGGCTTCATCTGGCGTGTCTTTCAACTAATTCTACACATTCAATACTAAATATATATATAGTTTATGTCACGGCAAAACCCGGCAGCTGATGAAAACAAATATTTTGCTGTCTATTGTCCTAAATGAATTATAATTACGATACGTAACTGATCCCCTGGAAAAAATACGGCGATGCTGGTCTTATCCGACCAACTGCGACTCAGTCAGAGTCACACTCAGTTCCCCTTGTGTTTTCTCTTGAAAATACTAGTACAGCGTGTCTTTTCGAGAGTTGTTCCACCAGACAGTCTAGCATTACTCTAAAGTTCAATAGGAGTTTTTGTGTTATATTTTCAGTGTAGTGGTGGAATAGACTGAACATTTCCTGTTTCATGATGAGAAAAAAGTGTCGAGATGAAAGAACCTACGTAAATGTTTGAAGTTTTGCAAGCCAGTCTGTCGTAGATGCATAACGCAGAAGACAGAAAGATGAACGCTCGATGCAGTTGGTGCTAAGAAAACTTACCTGGAAAACATGCCTAGTCTATCTTGAAGAAATTATTGTGACAGGAAGAAGTTTTGACGAACGTGTGCAAACTTAAGTAAAGGCTGTGAAAATCTCAAAGCACATCCAAATCGATCAAGATAACCAAGATAAAAGGACTAGGATCTCTAAAAATTTGAGGCGAAGAGATACAAAACCTACTTGTTTGGCGATACTGGAAGAAATAACACCAACTGGTGTATTGTAAATACAATTGTATTGTAAATACAATTGAATCTACTCCTAGCAACAGTTATAAATTTAAATAAAATGTGTACCATCAAAATGTTGATTGAGAGGTTTTAGTGAGTGGAGCCTTATTCAGTTTCTTCTTGAAACTGATATCATTTTGTGTTTTCAAGTTATGAGGAAACCTGTTCAAATATTTGTGGAGAGTTGCCCGAGAGAGACGATTCGATTTTGTTGTATTATGCTTCCCTCAATGGAAGACTTAACAAATTGTCTCTGGTCTGGATTCCTGGCCAAACCTGCCTGGAAGGCAATGAAGCTGCTGATTCTCTTGCAAAGGAGGGTGCTGCAAGCTGCTTCATCGGACCAGAACCTATCATTGGCATCGCTTTAGGCTTTGCCAAACAAACATTGAACACCTGGGTGGCAGGAAGATATATGGACTTCTGGCAGAATTTCCCAGGATTGGCTCACTCCAAGGCGTTCATTCACCATTCGAAGCTTAAAAACAAACAGTTGTTGGATTACAGTAGGGAATAACTATGACCATCTGACCTGAAATATTACTCACCATATGAACTGATCGGCTTCGTTAAGAAGCTGGGTGCGAACCACAATAAACCTTCGCAGGTTGCGGTAGAGGGTCGCATGGAAGCACTTTCTTTTGACCAAACCTAACCTTACCATTATGCTGGGTGTCTTTGGAAAGAAGTGTTCTGCATTGGAGTTTAGACCTCAATCAATTTCTTTCTATGGAGAATTTCTGGCTATGGAGAACGAATAATTTTGTGATATTGATTATAGAGGTGCGTTGAGGTTCGTCGCAAGCATTGTATGTTTAATTTTTTTGCGAATCTAGGTAGATCTGGGTGTCGTCGGCGTAAAATTATGAATAACAGTATCGTAAGTTTCCGATGTGTAGATTGTGAATAACAGAGGACTTAATATCGATCCCTGGGTATACCAAGATTCACACTTATTGTAATACCTAGCGAAAGCTATGTATGGTAATACAAATTCTAAATTCGGGAAGAGACAGATTTTTTCAATTCAGATTATTTTTAAACGCCGTAACTGTCTCTCATAAAACGTTAAATTATGGCCGGGGGACCAAGATTGTTAGTATAAACACTATTCATCGGCGTGAAAAGATGCCCAGACAGATATAATTATCACGTAGCTCGAAATGTTAATATGGGCATATCAATATCCCAGAATTGAAAGTTTTGTGAACTTATCGAAAGATGTTTTTGATGACCTACGTCGTACTGGGGCAATGATGAAAAGATAACGGTTTGAGAAACGCGAGGTACTCGAGATGGTCTTCCTGGCTTTTGAGAGGAAAAAAAAACAGAGAGTTTTTGGAGCTTTTCGCTGAAGGCAGCGGTCTTAGAGTGCTGCGAAAGTTTTTGTTTGGGAAGTAAGTCTGCGTGAATTTTGAGGAGGTTCGAAAACTTGGGAGTTTGAAGGGTTCTCTTGACGGTCAATCAAGGGCGGTATATTTTGTTTTGGAAGATAGTTTTCCTGGGTGGAATCTTTAATTTTGTTTATTCTTGAAAACAGGTGGTCAGCGCGATTTTGGGTAGTCTTTTATTCTGAAGCGAAAATCGAGCAGTGTAGTGCAGAAGTGTAGTCAAATAGGGGACGAGCAGGAAAATGGCAGCGGTGAGTAAATTATACATGTGTACTAACCATTTTATAGTTTTGGAAAGAAGTTAGGTATAAATTTATATACAGAGTGCACCTAATAATTGCCTTATAGATATTTAGCGTTCAGAAAACATCGGCCAAGTTAGAGTATTTCGTCACAATCGTATATTATAGTGATTTCCGGCGAAGGCACAGTTATTGAGTTAATTTTTTTTGAGATTTGGTTATGGTTATTATTTTTATTTTTTTTTTGATATTTTCGTTCTTTGACTATTCTGTTATATATTTCTCCTTTATTTCCTTTATTAATGAATATAGTTTCTTCTGAAGGTTTTAGTGTGCTTTTATTTCACAACCTACCACAGTAACCTCTTGGAAGGAAGTGTCAGCGAATTTTTTTTAAGATCTTTTCTCTCTGCAACTAAAGACCTCCTCCTAGTGCAGGAGGCGGAATTCAAGCCTCTTTCAGACTTGCCTGACATCCAAAATTTGATGTGGAGAAATTCGCATCTGGTTACAGTAGCTGCCAAATCTTATTTAAATAAAACAAACACGGAAATAGTGAAAGGGTTACCAAGGCTTGATAGACAGTTAATGACGTATTATTTTATTGGTGATTCAGCTATAAAACCGTAGATGTTTCAGTGGGATACGTATATATAATAATAATAGTAAAACCGTGCCAGATTTACTACATTATAAAGAGGAGGAACTAGACTCAACAACTACATATGGACTACGACTATGCAATTATTGTGCTGATAAGTTTAGCGTTATCAGGTAACCCAAATAGTTCAGTTACTTACTGATTTCAAGACATTGATGATAGTGAGACCATGTGACCAACTGTCTACCCCATCACAGTCTATAGACTGGCTCTCATTGACACCTGCTTCTATTAGTGCATCCGAAAAAACGTGAACAGCGTCGATAATAGAAGCTGTTTCCGAATCCAGTTCTGGGTAGTCGTGGAGGGAGTTTGATCCACAGTCCTCGTTGAAAGTTACTTTGTACAGATGACAGAGTTCTTTACTTACTCTTGTCGATAGATCGTCTTCTGGTTTCATGATGTGAACCTATAAATGAATAAACTAGTCATAGTTATCCAGAATAACGTAAACAAAACATGATATAATGATAAAACACTTTGATTGATAACTTTCCAAATATTTTATATGGAAATTTAAGGAACACCACCATTGTTATGAACAGAGACATCTACTTGCAGGAGATCAAAGACATCTTCCAGAAAGGGAAATACAAGAAGCTTTCATGACATTCCACCGCATAGGCATGATAACGATTTGAAGAAGTATATGAAAATCTTGCAGTCATAACGAAGTAACAAAAGGACGATATGGTCACACAAAACTATGAAATCCAATGGAATCGTCACCGTCACCGGTCACAGTCAATATAAGTATATGATGGTTTGAAGCACCGGCTTTGGAGGAAGCTGAAAAGAGGACCCATACCTCGTTGATATACATGGAAGACACATTCATATTATGTACCACAGAAATCTGAAAGTAAGTGAAATTTTGCAATAGCTCAACAGTATGAGGCATTTAATGGAAGTCGCAGTGGAAAAGAAAACGGAAATTGAATTATCGTCTCTAACTAGAAAGGTGGTACCCGAATTTTGAGTCTATGAAGAAGAGTTTTCTCAAAATGTTGATTGACAAACAGTTGATCTTTGCAGCAATACGTACGATTTGAAGCAGAATAAATATACCAAGAAGAGAATAGAATAAACATTAGTGGAAGAGTACAAAGAAACGAAAATGAAGAAAATCAATCTCGACTAGTGCTGATGGAAAAAACCGAACGTTAATGCAATATTCCAATTTTCTTCAGATGAGAAGTCGCACACATATTGGACAAAAACCTTTTCATCGATCATAGCATAGAAATTGAAAATTTTTGAAAATACTTAGTTGTTAGGAGAAAATGGAGGTAGTTCATCGAACTGAAATGAACGTTTTGTGTTCTCGTGTTACATTTATGTGAAGAACTAACACAATCACAACTCCATAGCGACTAATCCATTCGTTTTCTACATATGTGAATAACTTTTTCAATTCTTGAAAGTGGAATTTTCACTCACCCCTGTTATAGTTGCTTCACTGTACATGAAGGGGGTTAATTCTCCTGTATGAGCCTTTGTATGAGCATCAATGTTGGTCAGTAAAAAACTATAATCAGTTGTTAACATTCCTATTTGCTGAATTTGTGACAATAACTCCGTCAGATGTTGAATTGGGCAATCCAATACAAAGTTTTTCTGACCCGATTTCATTACTTCTTGGAGAGTTGATCTGCAAAAAATATTTGACTTACCTAAACCATTGAGGGATAACATCTTTTTGAAGACGTTACACCCAATTTGGAATTAGGGAGGTGAATATTGAAGATTTCTATTAGTTTTAGTGAGTTTTTGAAACTGAACGGAGATAAAAATTGGATGTATAGGCGCTTCCTCCTTCAAACTTGAATAAAATGAAGTGAGTGTGATATATCATCGACATTTTTTATTTGTTCGACAGACCTATTGATGCCATCATGTGTAGATCATCGTTCAAATGTTCGCCACGGCTTCCCTGGGTGGAGCGTATCCAAAACGTCTGATTTTCCATGATTCTGGCACATAAATCAGGCTGAATTTCACCAGTAGCATGAGTTATGTTGGCTTCGAGGCTTATTCGCATACATCGCATTCATGCGACTCAAGAAAACCTCACAAGAAAAGTCTAACGGGGTCGAGTCGCACGATCTCATTGGCCAGTTCACATGACCTCCACAGTTCACATCCCCTCTACATGAGATGACCATGCCCCCAAATCGCTCGTGCAGAATATCCGAGTTGTGGCAAGAGCTGTGTGGTATGTAGCGCCATTCTGTTGTAACCGCATGTTGTTGGTGTTCAGATAATCCAATTCAGGCCAAAAGAAGTTAGTAATTATCGACCTAAAGTGCTCGCCGTTGACAGTGATGGCCTGATCAACGTCATTCTCAAAGAAATATTGACCGATGATGCCGCCAGTCCAAAATCCACACCAAGCAGTGGCTTTTTCGTGATGCATTGGACGCTCTTGGATCTCATGTGGATTGGTATCGTCCCAAAATCGACAATGTTGTTTGTACACGTACCCATTCATCCAGAAATAGGCCTTATTGCTGAATATGATTTTTTGATGGAAATTAGGATCAGTTGCCAACTGCTCCTGAGCCCATTTAGCGAACTCACGTCTTTGTCAATGGTCATTCACCTTCAGTTCCTGGAACAGTTAAATTTTGAACAGGTGCAGGCCCAAGTCACGACGCAAAATTCGCCAAGTTGTGGCCTGCGAAACGTCTAGTTCTTGTGAACGGCGCGAAAACAACTGCCTTGGGTTTTCCTGCACACTCTCACAGACAACAGCGATGTTTTTGGCAGATCTTGCGTTCCGTTGACCTTCTGGTGTTGGTCGATCATTTACTGAACCAGTAGACTCAAATTCATTCACCACATTGTGAATAGTCGTCTCGGTTAAACTATTATGGTGATTATGATAGCCCTTATTCAGGCAGACTGTAACGTCATCACACCAACCAGGTTGCCTCTCAGCTCGCCATACGAGGCAGACAGACCACCCACTCTACCAGAGTACACCAAATTGTCACGTGGTGTCCTGTCACCCAGCGGTGAACCAATCGGAGTGTACCAAATTGTCACGTAGCATCCTCAAATTGTCACGTAGCTTGCCAGCTTATCAGAGCACACGCTTCTGCATCTCAGAACATCGTGGCGGGAGATTTGAATTTTCTGTGGATATAAATAATTCAAACAGACGACCAGGTGTATCCCTCGACAAGACAGACTACCCAGTCACGTGGCGCGCTGAAAACTGGTCATCGGCGTGGTAGACTATGTCCTTAGACTCGACACCAACATGAGATATTGGTGACATCTGATGGCCGTATCGCGCGATACGTTGCTCGAACAGAAAACACATTTTTATGAGACAATTTCATTACTTGCACGTGTTGTTGAATGATATATCCGTCCATGGTGATTCAGTTAAACAGACTGAATGAATGACAACTAATTTGACAGATGTAGCTTCAACAAGATGGCCGTTAGCAATTGTCAAAGTTTGGAAGTCCCTTAGTTTCAATGGTATTTTTCAAGAATTTTGAAAATTTCATACAGTACTTTCCTATTGCAATAACCAATAATTATATAATAGAGATTGTCGAATAGTTTGATGTACAAGTCCAACTGATGAAACTACCGCGTTTTGAATGAAATTTCTATTGTGGAAATTATTATAATCATTTGCAAGAGTAACCTTTGTGAAGTATCTTGCATGAATGTTTGTCAGATATAATTCACTATCCAAAGTGGTATCAGCCAATGAAGTACTTGTTTTCCGACATGCATTTACCAGAACCTACTGCGTAGATATGCTGGGAAACATTTATGTTTCGAAATATTTATTTTCTTGTTGATTTTATAATTATTATCATGGATCTTGTGATGCACTGTTTGGAACCTTTGGTGTTGTAGTAAATATTACTGAAGTTTTCTCCTAACACCAAACCGTTATTTTAACACCTCGACACGTGTTTCGATCACCAAGTGATCATTCCAAGTGATTCAAGAGGAAGATTAAACTACAGTTAGATTTCCCTCTTGAAGATGATCACTTGGTGATCAACTACAATTATATCTTCCTCTCGAAGATGATCACTTGGTGATCGAAACACGTATTGAGGTGTTAAAATAACGGTTTGGTGTTGGGAAAACACTTCAGTAATATTCATTATCATGAATAGTGATATTAATTCTCATCAAGCATCGGATCAGTGTACTTACTTTTTAACACCGTATTAGAATAAAATGAATAAATAACGCAATAAGTGTTCTGGTGTGGGTAAACTGTTCTCAATAGATTTATTTCACGCCAGAGATTTCAGTGATATCTATCAAAATATATCATTTTACTGACCTGTAATTCCCATCATGATGTACATCAATATCCTCCATGTAAACAATAACACCGTCATCCTTAGCTTTATTTATGAAATCGGTTATTTGTATAAGATTTTCGAAATCGGTGTACAGAATAGTGAATGTTTCCCATTCCAATTTCCTGACGATATCCACGAAAGCGTCAGCCAACCTAGGTGGGCTCGGATAGAAATTGATAGTTTCTGGTGCCATCTGAGAAGGATGGACCCATCTTGTTAGGATCTGTGGTATTTCTTTTCTATCAGTGATTGACTGAACTATGTCTAAGTTCGAACTGGACTGGGGCCCAAAAATTCCAACGACGCCATTTTGCAAGAAAGAGCAGGTTCCTTTTCGAGCAGAAAAAGCATCGTCCGGAAGAACGTTGAAATTAATCAGGGGTAATAACGTCAAGTTAGAGACTTTTTTCTGGATATTCTGTAGGTGGTTTGAGTGCCTAAAGGCTGATTGGTGCAGTTGAACGTTTTCGAAAATCCCAGCTGAAAATGTTAGTGAAATGAAAATATTTTAATGGAAGAGTGGAAAACAGGAGCAAAAGTCTATGAGAATGCTGAACCATGAAATACTCAAAATATCATCTTCTTTATAATTCACCACCACTAATTTATTTGTTGCTGATACAACCATCACATACCTATATTTCAGATACTTGAGCGAAAGTAAAAATTGACATGAAGTCTAACTCATATAAGATTTTTATTTGGCGTTGTAAATATAAATTTATGATCAACTTCAAAACATCAAATCTACAGAAATATAGTATATTATTCAACGACTACACAAGCACGAGGGAGGCTCCGCTGTGAACTATTTGAGCAAATAATGGTCATTTTTCGCGAGTAGTATACTATACTTTTTCTGTGACTTGTACCACGAATAATTGGAAATAAAATTCAATGTGGGAGATTGTTCGCGAATTGAACTAGGCCAGAGTTCTAACCACTCCTCCAAGAAGCTGCTTACAAGTTGGGGTGACATGGAGCAATTTGAGTTCCTGATAACTTTAATTTTTTTAGAGAGACCAACTTTTGAAAAACATATATTTTTACCTATCTGGTCAATTGTGATAGGTTTGAGGATGTGACTCATGGATCATTTTGGCTATTCACTCGCCCTATGGTGAGAACCGCTTACTGCGCAACCTCTATTGCAGGCAACCAGGGATGCAATTGAACCCAGGTTTGTGTTTTGAACCCTACAAAATGCAAATGAAATAGAACACATAGTCAGAGGCTACAAATGCAATACGCATATATACAGACGGCTCAAAAACCAAAGAAAGCTCGGGATGTGGAGTGTACTCCAGATCACTAAGCCTAAGGATTAAGTGGGGAATGGGAAAAAATACCAGCGTATCTGGTATTTCTGCCTGGTAACACAACGTGTTACCTCAGGGCTAGTTCCACCAAGATTTAGCCAAAGCCTCAGTAGATAATAACATTATCCCGAGGTGGATTATTAGGCACAACAGGAGTAAAGGTAATCACATTGCCGACTCAGCCAAGGAAGCGGCTGGACTAAGAATTTCTGTACCCAGTGGCACCTAGGGCGTGATGACTTCGACAATTGCGGAATTAGCCAAACGTCACACCCACGCTCCATTCCTAAAGTGATGGGATGGAATCAAATGATGCAATTTTGCCAGGATCACCCTGGGCGACCCTGGAAAGCTAGCGCCGAAGAAATATCTGGCGGTGACCACACATCTATGCAGGATGTGTGAACAGGAAGATGAAACTGTCAGGCATGTCCTATGCGAATTTCCTGAGTTATCGTCAATGAGAGAGTGTGTGTTCAGCAAGTCTTGGCCTACACCTGCCGATATAAGAGAGATATCTCCCAGTGACCTGTCCACCTTCCTGGAGAAGACAGGATGGACGATGACCTAGGAGGGCAACTCCTCTGAAGGATATACAATGGGCCTACACTCACCCTCCCTACTTCACAGATACAGATGCAGGATTGAAATATATTTCAGAAAGGGTGTCATTCGACTATCGTTTCTATTTGAAATTTTTGACATAAGGGTTGTGGTGGAGAGGAAGTGGCTGACAAGAGGTTGATTTTTGGGTAGAAATGTGTCCCCATGAAAACTAAAGTTGACGTAATTAATTTTTAACAGTCCCAATGTCAAATGACTTATTCAGGGTGACTTCTCTACATTGGAATATACTGGAATATTGGAATATACAATCAGCTCAAACTGATAATAAACAGAAGGAAACCTATTTCAGAGACACCTGTTTTGGAAGATGAGGAGAAACTACACTGGAATCAAGTAGATCTGGAAGTTTTGTTATTAACAATAATTAATGATGAGTAAGCAATGCAATTTGTCTTTCTCTGAGATTAGGATTTTTCCTGAACATCAAGATTAACCTCTTTGACGACAACTTTTTGATGACTCATCTTACTGTGAAAATATGAACAGAAATAAAGCAAATACCTACTCGTCCTAGTTGCCAAGACATTTTTTCGCTTAGACTTTGTGCCAAAATAAAAAATTAATAATTGTTACTTACCAATATTGAGTTTTATTGCCGAACTCGAACCACATTGAAGAACTATACATAGCAAACATATTACCCAAACCATATTCAGTGTATTTTATTTCACTAACGTACTCAGACCTACTACTCGATATTTTTTGACCATTATGAAAAATTTTGTTCTGTAGCCACCGCAAATTGGTATTTCCTTTTTAGAGTTATTCAAACTATTAATACTTCTGAATGTATGTGTTTCAACAACGAAGTTTCATTAAGGTCAAATTAATTAATTACTTGGGATACATGAGATAACTAAGAGAATGCATATACTTTGTTTATTTTTGTCGAACTTAACTGTTACATGGTATTTTTTTTTGAATTTGTTGACAGCATTTGTAACGTTTTAAATTATTTATCTTGATGGTTGACGATAGATTACAGTCGAAATTGCCAAAAAATAAACTTTCAGATTAGAGAAAATAATATGGTTTAGTTTGATGATATTTCTAGAGACAAATATGTTGTTATTCAGCGGTCAGTATGGATTCCGATAAGTCAGGAACACAGAACTGACTGCTTTGAAAATAATTAAAGATAATCAAGAAAAAATAGATGATAATCAAAAACTCTGCTTATTATCTTTAGATTTCTGCAAAGCATTTGACACAATCAATCATAATATGTTTGAAGGTGATAAAGTTTCATGATGAATTCCATGAGTTCGGACTCCTGTTGTCTAATATTATATAAAATGATTTGAAATCCCTAAGAGAACCAATACAAATGGAGAATCAAAAACAATAGCCAAAAATAACAATTATATTAAGCAAAAAAACCCTGAAACAAAATTACAGTGAAATAAAATACAAGTGAAAAATAGAACAATCCAACAAAAAATAAAAACTAAAGGGATTCCAAGCCAAGTTACTTCACGATGTTTCGATTGTTAGCATCCGCAATCGTCTTTGGGTGATGACTGGACTAATTCCTACGAGAGATCACCGGTTCAGCAGGAGATGATCGTTTGGCGGAAGTTGGCCATTTTTCGCTTGATTATGGGGTTCCTTTTGTTGCGCAACTCTACGCTAGTTTGGCTGAATACATTGTTGGATTACATGTATGCGGCTTCTTTGAATTTCCTCCTGAACCAATGATCCTCCCTGGGACCACTCTGCTTATGACCACTCGATGTTATATTGATGGGTCCAAAGATGCTCTGCTATTCCTGATTTGCTGGTTTCCCTTCGCTGTGTGTGTTTCTTGTGCTCGGCAATGCGAACTTTCAACTTGTTTCACCGATATAGGATTTTTGGAATTCACAGGGTATCCGGTGGATGCAATTCTTGGAATCGCAGTCCGCGTTTGGTGGCCTGGTTTTCGTGAGGCTGCTAAGGATAGTGTTTCCGGATCTGAAGCAGGTTCTGATGTTGTACGTGGATCTGATTCTACTTATCCTTTTCTACAGGGTGTTCCTTAAACACATGTTAATATTTGAAGAGGTAATTCTTAGACCCATTTTAAGGAAAAAACGTCCTATGGACGTATGTCCTAAACGCCTTAACTTTTGAGATACAGGGTGGCAAAGTTTTCAAAAATAATCAGTTTTTTAATAATAACTGAGATAATTTTGTAGACATCTTTGGCATATTTGGTACATATGTTCCATGCCTCAAGGCGCAT